AGCATTGGCCGCGGGGGGAGGTCGATGGTCCGCTTTTTTTAAAAAAAAAAAAAAAAAAAAAAAAAGTTAAAGAACTCCAAAATTCGAAATTGTCTTTTTTTTTTCTTTAAAAGGGTGAGGGCCTTGAGATATCAAATCGAAAACTTACCGGCCCCCGGTAATTCCGAATTATCCTATCCCTTAAGGAGCATTGGCCGCGGGGGGAGGTCGATGGTCCGCTGCGCTCCGAAATCGGGTTGGACTTTTGGCGAGGGACGGCGGATGAATGGCGGGGGGGCGTGCAGAGTGGTGTGTGTACCGAATTGTTCACATCGTGCCAGAAAACTTTAGAGCGCCCGGGCGGCGGCGGGCGTAGATGCGAGGGAATATCTCGAAGCGGCCGCCGTCGATAGGCGGGCAGGGGCCGTTTTTCCTTTTTTTTCTTTTTCATCGGGGCAGCAGTTTGTAGTTTCGTTTTTCGTTTTCTTTTTCGTCGGGCCAGCTAATTGTCGTTTCGTTTTTCATGTTATTTTTGTCGGGGCAGAAGTTTGCCGTTACGTTTTTCATATTCTGTGGGCATGGCCCGCACCGCCCGCACCGTGGGCACTTAGCTAGTAATTCAATTATTCAAATTCTATTATGTTCATCTGATTGCATCAGGTTTCCGACTTCGATTTGCATTTCAAGTTTCAACAGGTCATTGGTGTACCAACTGAGCTAGGCCCGTTGGTAGAGCTCTAAATTGTCATTTTCTGAAACCCACAATATCATGACAAAGGCAGGAAAACAGCGATGCTCAAAATGCAGCGATTATCCCCCGGAGCACAGGGTCAGCATACGCCGTATGCTGATACACTGCAATGATGGATTGTACATGATTTCTCATTCTGTGTACAGGTACAGCGTATACCTCTGGATGCTGGAAACACAAGAAAGAAAAGAGACAGAGGGATAAACTTTCCTCGCACACACTCTTAAGCTACCATCTTCTCCCGAATTCTCCCGAACGGAATGCCAGGTCATTATAGCTGTCCTTGGTTCAACTTTCGGTCGACATAAAAGCGATAATGACTTGGCGTTCTATTTGGGTGAAGCCCGTAGGGCCGTAGTCGCTATTCAGGTCAGGGTGAGGTGACCAATCATGAAACCTGTTGTGGGCAATGAAGGGCCATGCATCAAACAGCTCTCGTTTTTCAAGTTGTTGGCATGTTCAGGGGATTTTCAGATTCCGGATCCTTGTGAAACATTTTTTTCACCTGTTGCCTGACTGGTGGTTTCCATGGTGTTGGATCATATTTTCGCTGTTCTTCGCTGCTTGACACAGGGGCTTCTAGAACCAACATTGCGCTCACTGAAGCTGGACGGGAACCCCCTACGAAGGTAAGCACA